CTCTAAGATAAATAAAAAGCCCAATCTTGGATGCATCCCCATGCAAAGGCTTAATTGTTTCTAATGCAGTGTCTGTTCTCACCTGCCATTCAGCACCGAGGGAGGACTTCCCATGATGCTCCCTCTCCTTGGGGCAGTATGAGAAGCAGACAGCTGGAGGAGGAAAGCTCTCTAAACATGTGGGGTCTGACACTGGTCTAACCTTGCAGAATTAGTTCTTCTCTGTTCCATCTAGGGTACTCACACTGCTTTAACTTCTAATGTTGCTGGATTGTGGGGCTATGTTAACAAGTATGTGTGTCACTGGGAGCCAGTGTTGTGGCCATACTTGGGGCTATATTGAATGGGATCCTTGCCTCTCTGCCTGTGTGTGAAAATTAGAGTTTTACAAGAGGAAACTCTGGGTTCACCGCCTTATCCTGTGGAAGGAGGGAATGCTACTCAACTTTGGTGACCTCAGCTGTAGCCAGCAAGATTCTGCTCTACTGTCAGCTTGGGCCCAAGCTGGCCAAGGTCCTCCAAAAGCTGGCCTCTCTGCTGAAGTCTTCCCCACCCCCATTTGGAGGGAGCCCTCTATTGTCCCCAAATCTGTCTCTTCATACCATTCCACCAAATTCTCCATCTTACTCGAGTAATTATGGGCAGCTTTGATCCATTAATTTGGATATCCTCACCCAAAATGGGTACCTTGAAGGACGACTGCATTTTAGCAGTCTTTGACATAGATGTTAAAGAAAGGAAGACTGGGCAATCTACTTCTGTAGAGATACTGCCTCAGAAACCCAAGAAGGGGTCACTATGAGTTGGAACCGACTCGACGGCAGTGAGTCAGTTTTGGTAATATAGGTGTGGCCTGATTTACAAGGAACAAAAAGTCGAGGATTAGGAGTTTGAAATGGATCAGTAGAACAATGAAAAGGGAAATGTGATGAGACCTGTAAGAATGAGATCTGGTAAATGTGAAGCATAGAAAGAGGGGTCATCAGTATTTTGAAATAAAAGAAGAAAATACGTAGAAAGTATTTTAATGATGCTGGGAATTCTGATTTACCTATAAGGAATAGTAATACTTATAAAATATCATACAAGCTATCGTCTTGAGAAAAAAAATATCATAACCATTCTTAACTAAATACTGACCAAATCATACACATTGTGTCCTTAGGAGAAGATAAAGACCAGGATGTCTGAAAATAAGAGAAGAGATCCTAAGCTGACTCAGATTTAAGCAGCAAGGATGGGAGGCTTAGAAAAATCTACATGTCTTTAGTCACAGCCTCTTCAGCCCTTCATTTCTGCCAATTAAACTGAGCTCCGTGGGTCGGCTTCCTTGTAAGGTTAACTAATAAAATTCTGGAACTCAGATTTTAAAAATGTAAGTCTTCATAGCTAACATCAGGAATTACAGAAAGAGAGAAGGACAGTCTTCTCAACCCACTGTAGAAGGAGCAAGAACATTCTGTGCCATAAAATTAATAGGAAGAATCTGGTGTGACAAAGTGTTGAACTGGGCATTTTAGGGAAGGTAAGTTTCAATCTCCCTTAAACTATGGAGATTGATTATACACTCATAACCGTTACCTATTTGTTCCATTCTCTGTTAACATAAATTTATCCTTGGAAGCATAAGCTGAACACAGGGGTCTTATAATCCTCCCTCAAATTAGAAAGTATTACTACTTCTCATGAAACCAATTTTCAAGTAATTCTCATAGCTTACATTACATGATAATTTTGGAGTTCGGTCACAGTATTTTAAGTGACACCTGGATCCCTAAGCTGTGCCAGTGCTGTACTTGAAAGATTCTATGTTAAATCAGAAGAAGATGCTTGGCACTTGGTTCTTTTCCATGCAAGTAGGTACTAAAGCTGGACATTGAATAAAGAAGACCAAAGAAGAAGTGATGCCTTCGAATGGTGGTGCTGTCAAAGAACATGGACTATAGCATGTACTGCCAGAAGAATGGACACATCTGTCTTGGAAGAAGAACAGCCTGGATGCTCCTTATAAGCAAGGATGGTGACACTACCTCTCACATACTTTGGTCATATTATCAAGAGGGACCAGCCCCTGGGGAAGGATCTCATGCTTGGTAAAGCAGAAGGTCAGTGAAAAGAAAGATGACCTTCAATGAGATGAACTGACTCAGTGGTTGAAACAATGGACTCACACGTAGCAAGACTGTGAGGACGGCACAGGACCAGGCTGTGTTTTGGTCTATTGTACGTACAGTTTCTACGAGGCAAACCAATTCGCTGGCACGTAACAACAAAGGTAATAAAGTGACTACATAATACTTATTTAAACAAAGATTTTGGAAGTCCTGTCTCATTTAAATTAGCTTCAGCTACGAAGCAGTGTAGGGGAAAAAAGATATCACTCATAGTAACAACAACAACAACAACAACAACAACAACAAAAATATATATATATAACATATAAGAGTAAACTTTAAAAGAGTATAAGAAAATTCTAAAACTTAGTGGAGGACCATTCAATATGACATGGATAACCGGGAAAAATGTCTGTTCTCTCCAAATTAATCTTCAAATTAACCTTCAAATTCAATACAATCCTAATCACAGTTCCAATGGTCTTGGGGAGGGGTGATTCTAAGATTCACCCCCACTGAGTTCTCAGGGTGGCTCTCCCTCTGGACTCTCCCATCTCTTCTGTAGCCCCTTCTATTGCTAAAGAAAAAAAAAAAAAATGGTACCATACAGGAAAGGGCACTAAGTGATCCAAGTAGCGATTTAAATCACAAGGCAACAGTGAAAGGAATCTTTTTAAAATTCCCACTTCACATATATACAAAGAGGTAAGTCTCATGTGGAGTACAGCTGCAGATTTTTAAAATGAGCAGGTGCTTCAAACATTCTAGAATCAAACAGACAGCAATATTTAAAAAATCTCCAGGTAGAAGTGGCCTTTGTAAATAGGATGCAAAATCCAAGAACCAGTGAGGAAAGGGCTGACAAGAGTTGTCCACCTACAAATTCAAAAGTTCTCTAATACAAAAGAGTCCATTAAAACCCTAAAGTAAAAACAACTCATGGAACAAATATTGGCAACATATATGACCAAGATTTCCCACACTCATTCAGCATAGTTAGAAAAGACAACCAGCACAACAGAAAACAAGGACCAGGCACACTGTGACAAAGAGAAGATCAGTAACAAACGAAAAATGTTCTCATACCAACAGAACAAAACTCAAAATCATAAAAAAAAAAAAAAAAAAAAAATCAGGTTTACTTGTCTGTTAGAGATGGTGAAACTCCGGAGACTATGACTCCTAGTCACCCTTTGGGCCTGGAATTGAACTTCTGTGGGTTCCAGTCAAACATCAGGTGGATACAAGGTGAATATTTATACCAGGTAGGTCCATTCCTTAGAACAATCAACCATGGGAGATCAAAAGGGCAGCGTTTGCACAGGGGGACAGCTCAGGGGGCAGGAATGGATAGGAAAGAAAGACACGGGGAAAAGGTAACCACAGGGAGGAAGTGGGAAGAGAGCTGTTACACTGTGGGGATTGCAGTCACTGTCATGAAACAAACTGTGTATGAACTGCTGTGTGGAAAATGAATTTGCTCTGTATACATTTACCCAAATCACAATTAAAAAAAAAAAAAAACCCGACCACACCAAAAATGAAAACTGCATATTAACAAAGCTTTGAAGTAAGACTTTCAATAGTTCAACTTCAAAATCATAAACATGTTATTATCTAGTTATACTAATTTGAAAAAACAAGAAAAGGAAAGGTATGAATAGACTTGTCTTGTTTAGTTATACAAAAATGAATTTCTAAATATGCTGTCACATCTATAGAATAATTCTAAAAAGGTATACACTAATGTTTATAAGCAACATATACTTTAAATCAGAATAAAAAGCAACATATATGTGCATTTTGAGAAAAATAAATGATTACTTTAGAAAGTATTCATTTCTTTCTTTTATGAAAGATTTAGAAACTAATGATAATAAAAGTTTAGAGTAAAGTATGTAGTGTAATATCAAAATAAATTAAATTCTTATTCACTCTTACTTCTTTTCCTGTGGCGTTTCCCCAAAATAAAATCGTTTCCAATATCCATGGCATCTAGAAAATAATAGGTGGTGGTGAGGGAACTACAGTTTATACAAAAAAGTTACGCATCTTTTGACATTCATACTCTGGATGGTTTGAGTTCCTCATGATGTTCTGAGACTCATTCCCTTCTTGCGTTCTAAAGGACCCGGACAGGGACGGAACTGATCTCTGAGGATTCCTCACTTGTGCAATGGATAGAAACAGTAATCCTGTTCATTTTCAATTTCTTTTGTCAAGAATAATTAAGAACTTATTTACAAAGGTCTTAGGAAACACCTCATAAATCAAGAACATCCTGGAGGAAATCCTTCAGAACTGTGCACTGGGCTTTAGAACAGTTGACTTGGTATCTTTTCACTGACATGAAACAGGACCACTTTGCTTTTGAGGTCTTTCCAAGGTTGTGACAAGATGACACAATTATCTTCCAACGGAACAATTAGCTTTCTTTGTTCCATGGACGATGGTGCAAGTCACTATACAAATTGAACACTTTAGTATTAATATGCTAATATGTTAAACAGGATTCTGCCATTTTTACCAGTGTATTTCTATGACATCCTCTACATATCATCAACAGGGCCCATCTTCTTAAACATGGTTTATACTGATCACTTGCAGTTCTCAAAAAGCTTGGGTCAAGCAAATGCAGAAAACAGGATGCTGGGACGGGCTGGACCCATTTCTCATCCCATGTGCTCATTGTCAAATGGTGCCTCAAGAAATGGGAGCTCGGATTCACATTCTCAACATCCTGGAGCTCAGGGCCTGTGGTCCTTACCTTCTATAACTGGCCCACTTCCTGTTGATGAGCCAGAGGCTGCCAGATGTTGAACCCTGATCACCTGCCACAGCCCTAAGTGGGTCTGTGGTACCTGCTGAGCCACCCCACCCTAAGACCTGTGAGTAGCCTTAACTGTCATGTCAAAGGCTTGGTTCCTCCCAGCCTTTGCTTCCTGGCCCCTTGGCCCACCTTTTGAGGGACATGGGACACAGGAATACTTCTCAATTCCAGGTCCTGGTAGCTCGGCTCCTCAATTACTATTTGCAAGGAATTTTCACTTGTCCTCCCACACCCCACCCATAAGTCTCCTTTCCCCCAATGTTAGTGACTCCCTCCTCCCCACACCTACCTCAAAGGATGACTCTGTCTCTGAAATCTCTCTCTTCTGTTGCCCCTCAGTGTATCTGTCCCTTCCATTCAATTTGTCTTTTTTCTCCTAAAATTTGTCTTTTTCCCTAAAATTTGTATCTTGGTTTCTATATTTTTTTCTTTGCCTGCTTCTCCTGTTCATTCATTGATGACCTTTTTTTTTAAAAACAGAATTTTGTATTTACTTTTTATTATGCAACGTTATTCCTTTAGAGAAATATTATTTTGTGATATATATATATATATATATATATATAAGCTCTGGTAGCATAGTGCCTAAGGCACCTGACTGCTAACCAGAAGGCTGGAAGTTCAAACCCACCAGCCACTCCTCGGAAGGAAGATGGGGTAATCTACTTCTGTAGTGATACTACCTTGGAAACCCAAGGAGGGGTCGCTATGGGTCAGGTCTGACTTGACAGCACACAACAACAACAACTATATACACACACACACACACACACACACACACACACATACACACACCCACTGATGAATCTCTATGTATATACATAGGAAAACATATAGATGCATTAGATGCATACACACATATATGTAATAAATATATCAATGTTCAAAAACCAGTCACCCTGGAGTTGATTCTGACTAATGGTGAGCCCATGTGTCTCAGGGCAGAACTGTCCTTTGTAGGGGTTTCAAAAGCTGATTTTTTTTGAAGGCAATCACCAGGCCTTTCTTCCAAGGTGCCTGTGTTGTTGTTGTTGTAGGTGCTGTCAAGTCATTTCTGACTCGTAGTGACCCTATTTCACAGAAGGAAACATTGTCCAGTCCTGAGCTTCCCTCACAACCATTGCTATGTTGGAACCCGTGGTTGCAGCCACTATGTCAATCCATCTTGTTGAGGGTCTTCCTCTTTTTTGCTGACTCTTTACCAAGCATACTGTCCTTATCTAGGGACTGGTTCCTTCTGATAATGTGTCTAAAGTATGTGAAATGAAATCTCGCCATCCTTGCCTTTAAGGAACACTCTGGCTGTACCTCTTCCAAGACACATTTGTTGGTTCTTCTGGCAGTCCATGGCATATCCAATATTCTTCACCAACACCATAATTCAAAGGCATCAATTCTTCTTTCATCATTTTTATTCCTTGTCTAGCTTCTTTTGCATGCATATGAAGCAAATGAAAATACTATGGCTTGGGTCAGGCACACCTTGGTCCTCAAAGTGACACCTTTCCTTAGAAGTGCCTCCAGTTGTCACCCCCTTCCATTCAGGAGCCCAGATCTTCCTTCTCTCTAGGTTCCTCAAACCTACTGAAAGCAGTCAGAGGCTGTGTGCAAACGTCTCTCTCTCTGTGTGAATGCATGTGCACGTGCCTGTGTTTTAAGGAAAAGAAGGAAGAGCTCTTCCTCCACACAGACAGGCAAAGCAAGCCAACTGGTTATTAATATCACAACCGGCTTCTCCATCCCATGCTAATGGCTGGGCTTGTCTTCTGATGCTCCTCCTCTATTCATTTGGAGAGCTTGGTATTCACCCACACTGAAGAGAAATAAATAAATGATACTATGGATAATCTATAAAACTATAGATAGTGACCAAGGAACACACTGCAGTGTGGTCATGCTGAACGCCTATGTTCTGAGTTCAGCTGAGCTGATCTTTGAAAAAAAAAAAATGTACCTACTCCAAGGACTACACCTCAGATGTAACAGAGATTTGCTCCAGCCCTTTTTCTACCTAGTCACATCTCATTCTTCACTGTATTTCAAATTTTTCTGAGTATTGTCCTAACTCTAGCTCTCTCTCTCTCTCTCTCTCATCCATCCATCCCTAAAGATACTTGTGCTTCTTTTTTTTTTATTCTGTGAGTTTCTCTTTCCCTGACTTCTCTTATCACCTATGCTGCTTCCTCTTACTTCCTCAAAGATGCTGCTAATTTCTCTTTCCCTTTATTTCACTATTTGCCCTTTCTGGATTTATCCTTTTCGGTGTGTGGTATACTATAGAGCTGGCTCCAAATCTCCCCTTATCTGTCTCTTTGTGATTTTCTTTTCTGTCTCTACTGACACACACACACACAGAGGTCTACATGAACACATACATTCATATGTCTGCTGTTAGGTAAGTCTCCTTGCATTCAGTATTGGTGCATTCCCTGGTACTCCTGTGAATATACCAGGCACCTTGGACCTCCTCTTTGGATTTTGATCACGTGAACAGCTCTTACCCTCCTGCCTATTATATACACAGTCACCCTCAGTGAGACACCTAGGTTGCCAGTCTTTTTAGTTCTTGGACCCTTATACATTTGTGCTTCTGTTTCCTGGTCCATAAAACAGAGATAGTTAACAGTGAATGTGGCTAAGTCTAAGGAATTTTGCAATGACAAGATAAGATCTTATTTGCCAAATAAGATTTATCGCAATATGGTCCAATTATATGGTGAAAGACACTTGTCAAAAACTATATTAAAGTCTGAAGATGGTTGATTTGAAGCTTTTATTTCTGTCTATATTTACATAGCAGGAAGTTATCTTTAGAGGTATTTACTATTTTGTGACCAATTGACATTAATATCAACCGATACAGCATAAACATCTAAGCTGGCAAAAGTGGCTTGCAATCAGGTGGGTAGCTCGAATCCTCCCAGTGGCTCATGGAAGGAAAGGCCTGCTGAACTGCGTCTGTCAAGATTACAGCCAAGAAAACCCTATGGAGCAGATCTACTGTGTAAGCAGGGGGTTGCCGTGAGTCAGGGGCCAATGTGATAGTAGCTGTGGGAGTTAAAGGTTGTGTGTCAACTTGGCTGGCCTGGTTTTGAGAGGCTGGACAGCTGGATGGAGTGATTCCCCATGATGAAACTGATAATCATTTCCAAGGTGGAATCTATTGGAGCAGCTCAGTAGCTGGTGCAGGGATGTGGTCTGCTTCTGGTATATAAGAAGTAGCTTTGAGGAAGATCTCAAGCTTTTTAGTAAGCTTGGACCCTGCATGTAGCTGAGTCTTCATTCAGCAGCCTGCCATGTTTTCCTGCCAATCTTGGGAATGTCTGTGGATTTGAACTAGTGGCCTGGCATGGGACTGTGCCATTTTATTTGTTGAGCTTGGGTTTGTCAGCCTCAACAGCCAGCAGCTGTCTGAGTTAAGAGAAGCCTCCAGCTTCAGTGGGCCAGGAACAACAGGCAGAGCTGAAGCCCAAGGTCAAGGGGCTCTCATGCAGACTTGAGAGCTGGCACTTTGAACTCAGACCGCTAGTCTCCTAAACTGTAAGAGAATAAATTCCTGTTTGTTTAAGTCACCCATTTGTGGCATTTTCTGTTAGAGCAGCACTAGTTGATCAAAACAGTAGCTAACAATAAGAAGAAAATCTTAGGTTTAACAGACAGGGTGGTGGGTTTTAAAAAAGATACCAACATTTTGCTATTTATTTCCTCCACGGTGACAACATAGATAATTTCACATATTTAGCCAACAAAATTCATCCTGTTAAACATGAGTTTATAAAAATTTCCTGCCTCCATCCATTTCCTAAGAGGACAGAGGAAAATCAATGCTGAGAAGGAGGTCCCAGGATTAACTGGATACAGGGTAGTCAAGGAGCTGAGAACAAAATGCATTTGGAAACTGAAGCTTTTAATCCAGGTTCCTGACATCCTGTTGGCCAAGGCTGGGCATCCTAATCTTCTTTACCTGACCCACTTCTTGGTACCAAGCTCAAGGCTTCCTGGGGCTCTTCCTCATTACTCAACTCGAGGGAGTCATCACTGCTGATGCCTGCAGAAAGAGAGGAAACTCCTTAATGGTTTCAGCCTGTGTTCTAGCAACCAATCCAACAGGAGATTCTTTAACAGGAAAATGGGAAGAGGGATGCTGGGGTAGGAGAAGTAGGAATATTCCCATCTATGGGTCACCCTTTGGCTTCATCTGACTTATGGTTAAGGTCACTCCAAATACATTTCCATGGCAGGGGCTGGACAGTCACCAATGGGGAACTGCACCGTGTTGGGCACTCCCTTCAGTCACCCTCCACCTCCTTACACATCTTATTGTTTCCACTTGTTTGTTCACACTCTTTCTGCTTCTTGCTCAGGGGGACCACGGAAGCAATATTTTCAAGGTGTCAGAGCCTCCACCTGTTGGGCTCTAAGGGATCGAGTGGTGCAGAGCACTGCCCCCACCCCAGGAACTACTTCATCCCATTTATGTGAGTGGGGGACCACCTGGGATGAACTCTGTGCCAGTAAACATTTTGAGGCCTACATGCTATACCAGTTAGCCCAACCCACCTAACTCAAAATGTATAATGTGAATCATTTGTTGTTGTTGTTGTTATTTGCCGTCGAGTCGGCCCCGACTCATAGCGACCCCTCCTTGGGTTTCCGAGGCAGTATCACTACGGAAGTAGGATTGCCCAACCTTCCTTCCGAGGAGTGGCTGGTGGATTTGAACCGCCAGCCTTCTGGTTAGCAGTCAAGTGCCTTAGCCACTATGCTACCAGAGCTCTTAGAATCCCACAAATATGTTTTTGCATTTTGAAGCCTATAATACGTTTGAATGAAGCTTTTGTAGAAAAAATATAAAGGCATTCATTTGTCACATCAAGAATTTTTAACTGCTCTTACGTCTTTTTCTATTGTGTTTCCTCCAAATAGGCGTGTTCCCAATGTGCACAGGACCTAGAAAGAAAATGAAAGAAAACCAGATGTTGGTAACTGAAAGCGATGTGAATCTTGTGCTTAGTCACGGGCAGATAGCACTGAGAGGAGAAGGATGATCTGAGCTCATTTTTGTCTCTTCTCATCTAAAGGAAGAGTGTGCTACTGACCAGAACCTTAACTCCCCATGTTTCACCCCAACTGCAAATTCAAAGAAGTGCTGCAAACCAATATGTATTTTTTAAATACAGGTTTGCAGCTAATGAACTTGGCAATAAATGTGGACGTGAGCTGCCATGAGTTTATGTACAATCTGTATTTGCCACACTTGGTGTGGACGCTCCCACAAGCTGCTGCAAAAACGTTGAAATCGTATGTTTGGAATGGGGATTATTTCTCAGACTGTGCTGGAGTGTTTTGTCACATATACAATAGAAACCACATTAAATTTCTAAAGCAAAACTCTTTTGAATTCTGAAGCAGATCTTCCCTCAAAGGTTTGAAATAAGAGTCGGTGAATCTTTTCTGAGAGGCTAGGCTGTGGGTCCCACTTCTTCCGGTGACATTCCTTGTGTGACTTGGGGAAGATGCTCAGATGTTTGCGTGTTGGAGTTTCCTTATTTGTGAAGCAGAGGGAACAAAACTCATCTGGCCAACTTTTAGAAGTTGTAAAGATAAAAGGAGAGCGTATTGCAAAGATATTTTAGAATGTCGCTACGTAGGCCAATGGCACGTTGTAGGTCATCTGTCAAAAACTATAAATTGAATTTGACGGTAATAACCTGAAGTCTTTCTTTCTGTCCATAATTAGAGAGTCGTGACCAGGGCCCTTTGCATTCTGAGCAAGTCTGTGCCAAAATCAAGCAATAGCAGACTGCCCTCTTTCTCTGCTCTCTACAGTATTGGGGGGTGGGCAGGGGTGGAAATCACTATATAAATCCAGTACTTTGGGATTAATAGTTCTGAGAGTATGTAATAAAAAAAGACACTGCCATTCACCTATAGCCACTTTGTTAAGCCTGGATTTATAATGATTTCTTTCTTTGCATTTTCCAGAATGGCCAGATGAGGTCAAAGCAGGGTGGACCACCTCAGGAAACACCAGTGCTGCCGTCCTTACCTTCCTCATCAGGCCCACTTTCGAATCCTGAGGGCAAGGCTTCCAGACGCTCTTCCTCCCCACTGGATTCTGAAGAGTCACTGTGTCTTACCACTGCAGAAAGGAGCAAATGGCCCTTGGAGGTCTCAGTGTATGACAAAGTAACCAAGACAGAGGGAAGTCCTATAAAAAGAGAACTAGGGAAAAAACTTGGAAAGCTCTGAAATTTTAGGCAAAACTACCCCAGTCCCTGGAGAAGGATATCATGCGTGGTAGAGAAAAAAGGGAAGGCCCCCAACGAGATGGACTGACACAGCGGCTGCAATAATGGGCTGGTGTATAGCAAGCATCATGAGGCTGGCGCAGGGCCAGACAATGTTTCGTTCTGTTGTACAGAGGGTCGCCATGAGTCGGAGCCCACTCGACGGCACATAACAACAACGACAACCACAACTCCGGTCTTCCAACCTCCGTGATTTGTCTTTTGAATTCACGTGACCTGTAGGCTAGTATTTTATACCTCTCTCTCTCTCTGAACATTTTGTTGTGGCTTGGGAGAACGTTGGCAAAGTAAATTAGTTTTCCATTCAACAACTTACACACCTTTCATTTTGTGACATTAGTTGCAACCCCTCTATGTAACAGCACTCCTCCCACTTTCTCCCTGGGTCCCCTGTTTCTATTCATCCTTCTCTCCTGCCCCTTCTGAGCTTTGTTTTTGGGCAACGGTGCCTTTTCAGTCCTATGGCTTACTGTTCTGATTACACTGCTCATGGGTTCACTTTACAATTCATTATTGTTCACTTTGGGAGCTCTCATAGCATAGTGGCTAAGACACTTGCCTGCTAACCAGATGGCTGGCGGTTCAAACCCACCAGCCACTCCTCAGAAGGAAGGTTAGGCAATCCTACTTCCGTAGTGATACTGCCTTGGAAACCCAAGGAGGGGTCGCTATGAGTCGGGTTTGACTCAGCACATAACAACAACAACAATTGTTCACTTTATCGGCCTATTGTTTGGCTGAGAGGTGACACCAGGAGGTGTGTTCAGATCCAGGTTTGAAGGGTGTCAAAGGGCCATGTCTGGGGGTTCTACTAGTTTCTATCAAACCATTTCTCAAATTCTTCTAGAATTTTGTCTGTTTTCCTTGATTTTGTTTATGATTTCTTTTTTTGTCTCCTGTGAGTTCCCTGAGATCTTTCTTAATCTGTCGAAGAGTCCTAAATATAATACTTTAAAATTCCTATCAGGTAGTCCCATTCTGAGGAAGATCTCAGAAAGGTTTTCTGGCCCTATAATTAGGTCACTTGCTTGAGTCTTCTTGTCCTTTTTCTTTGTGTGAGTTGAAGTTGTCTGTTCTCTTAGAGATGCTGATGTTATTTTAACTTTGTGCTTTGTGTATTGGCTCAGTTCACCTTGATTTTTTGTTTTGTTTTGATATGTCTCTGTGGGTGGGACATGCGTGCTCCTCTGGTCTCTAGTTTAGTAGCATGGGGGTGCGTACCACTTGTCTCCAGGTGAGTGGGGTCATGGGTAATTGTAGGTCTCTGTTTGCTGGTCATGTAACACAGCTGTATGTGGCCTGGGCAGAAGTTGCCAGCCATCTGTCAATGATCCCAAGGTGCAGAAACAGATGGCGGCACTTGCCGAGTGAATGGGGCGGCAGGTGTGGCTGGCTAATGGGGACATGGTTGCTGCCTTCTCCAGATTAAAAAAAAGTGAAGTGGCAGCAGGTATGGGCAGGTTAGCGGGCCGGGGCTGGGTAGACAACTGGGTGGGACAGTAGTGGCAGAGGGCCATCAGCAGCCACCAGGTGGCTGGGGTGTGGGTGGCAACATCTCTGGTCACTGGGAGAGAGCACACTCCTCCAGCAGCTGGTCACCAGCCTGGGTGCAGGTGACCTCCTGGACAAGTGCAGCTGGTTATCTGGGTCCTGGCCTGACTCAATGCAAGGGTAGGTGTGCCTGGAGTCCAGCATCTCTAGATGCTACCCCACAGGCCTTCCCCTCTGCATGGGTCCCTAACCCACCAGGGACCACTGCTGATGAATGATTCTATCCTCATTTACCAGCTCTCTCCCTGTTCTGTGGCTACCTGAGTCTCTGGAATTCCTGCCTACTTTCCTGCACATTCCTTCCTTAGATCTAGGTCACCTTGCTTCACTCTGCATTTGTCTACACGATGCCTCTGTTCTATTGAGAGTTCTGTGAAGTTGCCTTCCTGTGCTCCTCACCTAGGAACACTGGTTGCAATGGTTCAAAATGGCCATGCAGGGCTGGCTGGTAGGGCACTTTCACTCCATATCTATCCTCAGCTTTCATTTAGTTTCTTCTTCCAATTGGTGTTTGATCTCATTCTTTACCATTTCATTGATGCTCAGGATTCCATGATTACCATCTGCATCTGTTTTGCTTAGTTTCTTGGGTCTTTCGAAAAGGGACAGCATGGAGTGTCTAAGTAGGTCACTATCTTAGCTCCGCTGCCCCTTCACTATCTCCTGAGTCCACGACTTGTCTGTCAGTTTGTTGGACTATGGTGGCTTGAGTGTTGTTACAGTGCCGGAGGCTATGCCACTGATATTTCAAACACCAGTAGGGTCACTCTTGTGGGCAAGTTTCAGCAGAGCATCCAGACTAAGACAGACTGGGCCTGGTGATCTACTTCAGAAATTTAGCCAATGGAACCCTCATGGATCACATCAGAACACTGTTGACTTGCTTGCTTTTGACATGTCAACAGGAGGGACCAGACACAAGAAGAGGAGGGCATCATGCTTGATGAAGTGGAGGACCAAGAGCACGGGAGGCCATTGCTGCTGTGGTGGACTTGAGCATTCTTGTTACTGTGAGGATGACGTAGGACTAGGCCATGTTTGGTTCTGTTGTACATAAGGTCGCCATGAGTTGGAGTTGACTCTATGGCAAGTAACAACAATCACAACATCTCTTGAATGTGAGGCTGAGAAAAATTCACCCACAGTGGGCATTTTTGCTTTGTTTTGATGCTCAGTCTCCTCAGACCGCATCCAATTTCATCTTTTACTGGTCTCTTTATAGATTTTGTGTTTGTGTGTTCACTGCTGTTGTATCTATTTATTTATACCTTTGCTTTTCTTCCAAGACTGCCCTGGAAGTCTGGTATTGAAGATAGCAGTTCCTTACTAGGCTGCTTCCCTGGCTACTTGAAACAGAGCCTCACCCCTCCTCAACCTAAACATCCTTAGAAGGTTTACTTGAGAACAAAATACACTTCCATTATGCCTGAGTCATTTACTTCTCTGGGTTTATATGTTATAACAGTGAGCCTAACTAACTCACAAAACCGGTTGCCATCAAATCGATTCCCACTCATGGCAACCTCATCTGTTTCAGAGTAGAACTGTGCTCCTCAAGCTTTTCAATGGCTGGGAACTTGCAGAAGTGGGTCACCAGGCCTGTATCTCGAGGTAATCCTGAGAAGATTCAAACTGCCAACCTTGTGGCTGGTAGCTGAGCACTTAGCTGTCAGTGCCACCTGAGGACTCCTACCTAATACAAAAGTTAAAATACGAGCCATTTAAGATTAAAACAAATTTGTATTTTACTTTGAAGCATATAGCAAACAATCAGAATGAATCTTTTGTAGAAAATACTGTTCATGTGTAATCTGAAGAGTTCTTATTTTCTCTTACCTCTGTTTCTACGGCTTTTTCTGAATGTGGGTGATTTTCTCAAGTCCACGGGCTCTGTAAGCAATGAGGAGAAAACAGTTATTTGTACACAAAAGACTTACAAATCCTATGGCAACTCACACTGCAGATGGACTTGTAATCATAGTGATGCTTTTTGGTGATCATATCTGTCTTCCCTTCTACTGAATCCAGTTCTGATGGTTTAGGACCATGACTGGAAGCCCACCAGGGTCTCCCTGTTGCATACTCACCATGTGAATTCGTAAATGACTCTTAAACAATACTAGCTCGTTTCCTCATCTATGAATCAGAGTTAACCTAGTTACCTCTTAAGGTTTGCGTGAAGATAAAATGAAGCTTTATTTATAATTGCCCTATGAAAAATCAGTGTAAGGCAGTGGCTTAATTATAATTGGGTTTCAAAGGAGTTGCTCTGAAGCTCTTTTATTTGTGCCATCGATAATTAAAAATCAGCACAAATTATTCTTGGGAGACTTCCTAAATTTGTGACGAATGACACTATCATCAACCACAGGATTACTTTGCTGACCATGCTCTATGAAATATAAAGGATGGTGGTGGGGAATGAGTGGAGGCTCCATGTACAACACAACGAAGCGTTGCTTGGTCCGATGCCGTCTTCATGATTGAGGGCATCCATTTTTGTAGCCACTGTGTACTCTGAGTACCTTCCAGCCGAGGGAAGTCACCTTCCAGCCCTTGATCAGACCCTATTCTGTTGTGATCTACAGGATTCTCACTGACCAATTTTCAGATGGTGTAGTGCCTAAGGCATTTGGCTGCTCACCAGAAGGCTGGAGGTTCAAACCCACCAGACACTCCATGGAAGGAAGGTTGGGCAATCTACTTCCGTAGTGATACTGCCTTGGAAACTCAAGGAGGGGTCGCTATGGGTCAGAGACGACTCCACAGCAGTGGGGTGGGGCCTTTTCAGAAGTAGATCACCAGGCTTTTCTTCCTAATCTGTAATCTGGAAGTTTTGCTGAAACCTGTCCAACATGGCTGACTCTGCTGGTATCTGAAATACTGGCGGCATAGCTCCCAGCATCGCAGCAACTCGCCAGCCACCACAGTGCAACAAAATGACAGGCAGGTGGTTAAATAGGTATGACGAAGCAAAACAAAACACCCAATTCACTGCCATCGAGTCGAGTCCGACTCATGGAGGCCCCTACTGGGTTTCCAAGGCTGTAAATCTTCATGGAAGCAGACTGCCTCATCTTTCTTTTGCAGAGTGGCTGGTGGGTTTCAACCATCCGCCTTCCAGTTAGGAGCCAAATGTCCTAGCCCCTACAGGACCAGAGCTCCTTAAATAGATATGACGGCATGCGGTGAAAAAACATGTTGTCAGTTTACTAGTGTATTTTTACTAAATTTTCAATATTTCAATCTATTCAGCCCATCCAGTTAAATAAATTTATAATGCCTCTGTGCCTCTTTCCAATGTCCAATGGGACCAGAGAAGTTAAAGGCAGAAAGTGCTGTCCTAGAGGTTACAGAATCAAGGGACATGGAGAATGCTCAGAATAAAATTAAAATTCATCAGGAAAAGAGAGCTTTGAATTCAGACTCGGGAAATTTTGCTCGTTTCGGCTCCTGAGTAATCAAATGGCTTTTCCTTCTTTATATCCACAAGAGGCACAGTACAGGAATCAATTTGGATTCCACGTGTGGGTAGCTCTGCCCCTGGACCAAATTGAAAGTAGTGAAGAATGTTCATCTATCACCACAGGGCGTTCCCTTCACCACTGTCCCAAACTGTTTTCTGCAATTTCACTGCAGGGGTTAACTCTTCACCCCCCACCCCTGACTTTCCCTGGCTCAACTCTGTGCCTTCACTTGTGCCACTTAATTCTGAATTTTTTTCTTTCTCTTTTTTACTTCTGTCTTGCCCTTCTTCCAAGACACCGCTGGGTGGGTTTGCACCACCGACCATTTGGTTAGTAGTCTGGCGTTTAACCATTCGTGTCACCCAGGGCCTCCCCCATGAGTTGTAATTGACGATGGTAACTAACAACAACAACAGGACATGGGGTAGGCAGTGAGTATGGCAGAACAAAGGAAACCTTTTTCTTTCACAGTAAAACCAAGCTATAACTAGAAGATCAGTAACATAAATAATAACTACTGTCTTCATCACAGGGCAACGGGCTGGGCATCTCTGGTCTTGCATCTCCGTTATTTACTTGGAAAGCTGCTTGTTCAGAGGATCCTGAAGATAAAAAATGAGCACAGGTGAGATCCAACAGAGCCTCTCCTCTGGTTCCACTTCCTTACACCTCGTCCCCCGTGTCTGTCCTGCTCATGCTCCTGTCTGTAGCCCTGTCTCCGTACCCTGCCATCGCTGCCACGTGGAGGTGTTTGTGCTTCTTTCATTCTGCATTTTCTCTCCTCAAGCCCCAGACAACTTCTGCTTCTGCCTTTCTTCCCCAATGACACTCTGTACCTTTCCCCTTTTTCTTGCCGTTTTTCTTTCCAACTTTCTTCCTTTGGGTCTCTCCCACCCCATATATTAGGTTCCAATCCTGTTCCTGTGTCTCTACGTAATGTCCCTTCTGTGTTAAATAGGTGTCCCCTTGCATGGAGCAGTAGTCTAGTCCTCTGCCGCCAGCCAGGGCCCCTTGGCCTCCCAAACCAAAACAGCTAAACTCACTGCCATCGAGTCAAGTCCAACTCATAGCGACCCCCATTGGGTTTCCGAAGTGGTTAACTCTTTATGGAAGTAGATTGCTTGGTCTTCCTCCCATGGAGTGGCTGGTGGGTTTGAACCAACAACCTTCTGGTTAGCAGTCAAATGCCTTAGGCACTTGGCTACCAGAGCTCCTTCTTGGCCTCCCAGACCCATGCAAATACAGTCACAATCTCACCTGCTGCCTCAGACTCTTGGGTACATGTTTTGTTGGCTTGTTGGCTTCCTGGTGAATCATTTTTATCACTGGTTAGATCTTTCGTCTTTGCATTGATCTGTTCTGTGTCACAGAGATCTTCTGAGAGTCCATTTGCAGGTGGGGCTGTACCTAAACCACATTTTGATTCATATGTTATTTGCTGCCCATATCAATCAGGGTCCAACAGCAAAGTATAAACCAGTCTAAGCACTTAAAGCAGAAAGAATTAAATCCAGGGCAATGGCTACACAGATGATGAACGAGCTGAGAAGTCCACATGGGCGAGTGCGGCAACCCAGAGAAGGTCAACAGAAAGCTGCAGTAAGGACCAAGGGTGTGCCCAGGGGGCAGGGGGCAGGGGGTGGACTACTGGGTTGGTAGAAGCTGGAACCATGGCTGGTCTAGACACTAGGACGCGGATCCATGGGGGAGGTGCAACCACTGCCCGGGCTTCTGCCTGAAGCAGGAAAGGATGAGGGAAATACCCCAGGTTATTCCTTCTACCCACTCTTCAATCTCTAGCTAATGTCTCCCATTGTAGGAACAGAGCGGAAGCCAGCTAGCAAGGGAAGCTGAGAGGCAAGACTGCAGGAGTCAGGGCCTAAAGGCACCTGGAAGAACCGAGCAAGGGAAGGGAAAGGCTCCCGAGCCCAGGACCAGCACACTGCCCCTCTTCCACAGGGCGAGCACCCTCTGCTCACGATCACACTCCACCTACACCCTGTTCCCACCACCCTCGACAGTATATTAATGGTCAAATATATTCTTCAGTGCAGTTTAGATTATTCCTTTCATTTAATGAGATTTTGTTCTAAATAAAATGATTTAAGGTATGTGGCGTAGTGGATAAGGCATTTGGCTGCTACCTGGAAGGTGGGTGGTTCAAACCCATGAGCCACTCCATGGAAGGAAGATGGTGCAATCTACTTCCGTAAAGATTTACCACCTCAGAAACCCAATGAGGGTCACTATGTGCTGGAATCGACTCAATGGTAGTGAGTTTGGTTTTTGGTTTTTTATAATCTGAAAAATAGTTCTAAAAGTTTTAATGTAGAATTTGGACTCTGATGCCTCTTTTTTTTTTTTTTTTTCTTTTTCTTTCTTCTGCCACCTTCTATAGCTCCTTGGGGCCTCCTCTTTGGGTTCTGGGCATAGCACACTGCCCTTATGCCCCATGCATGTCCCAGTCGCTGTCCCTGCTGGTTCATCGGGGGCTTACTGTGCTCTCTGTGCCTTGAGGCCACAGTTGGCACCTTCTCTTTTCATGTGCATCCTCTTCCCATCACTGAGATGTTCTGGGATGCCAGGTCGGGCTTCCCCTTGACTACAGTGTGAGTAATGAAGAATATACCCGTCTCCACACTGACACCAATGACTCCTCCCCACTCTGCTCATTATTAATCACCATCCCATCAGCTCACCCTTCCTGTTCCCACTACCTGTACCAGTAGATGAATAGTTAAGCAGAGGATTCATGCCTTTGGCATTTTAAAATATGGTATGAATGTTCTTTTCTTTTTTAAAAAAATAAAAGGGAGCTTTAAGAGTGTATCTATGCTTTCACAAACCACTCTGAAAGTCTTTTCTTTTCTAAAAATGTATTGTTGACACCCAGTCGATGTTGTCTCATAGTGAACACATGTGACAGAGTAGAACTGTCCCATTGAGTTTTCTAGGCTGTGATCTATGTGAACAGACCACTCAGTCTTTCTCCTGTGGAGCCACCAGTTGGGTTCAAACCATCAACCTTTCAATTATCAGCCAAGCACTTAACCATTACACCAGCAGCACTCCTAAGAAAAATGTATCAGTAATTTAAAATATTCTTTCTTAAGCAACATATACCAATTGGGACTTACACAATGATGGTCTTCTACCATGCTGGAAGGTGTCTTTGACTCCTCTATGTTACTCATTTCAAAGTAAGAATCATGGATAAAGACATAAAGTTTATTATAGACCAGTGCTCCTGATGGGTGGGAAACCTATGGCCACACTTTAAATTCTTGGGCTCAAAGGTGGTATTGTTTCCATCTCTACTCCTCTAGCCTGGGGAATTTTATCCACAATAAACATCTGGGTCTGACCCAGAGGAAAAAAAAAAAAAAAAACAACAACTCAGAGTCTACTGTAATGGTGAAATGCCTGGACTCCAGAGACAGATACAAATAATATAGTTCAGTGAAGTAATAACAACAAATGCAGATCACAGGGATGAGGTATCGGGCATGACTAAGTGCTCTCCCTAACAAACCTACCTTAAATGCATCAATCTTGTGACAAACAAAAACAAACAAGCTTGCTGCCATTGAGTCAATTCCAACTCATAGCAACCCCCACTGGGTTTCCACATCTTCCTCCTGTGGAGCAACTGGTGGGTTTGAACCACCAACCTACTGTTAGCAGCCAAATGCCTTACCCACTATGCTACCAGAACTCCTTATAATCTTGTGACGTGGGTACAATTATCACACTCACATTATAGGTGATGAAATGGAGCTGCAAAGAGAAGATGTGACGTGCCTGAGATCAGAGAGGCAGAACTTCAACTCAGGCAGGGGGAGCCCAGAATTCATGCTCTAACCCCCAGCAGAGTCAAATCCTAATTTTTACTGAGCAACTGGCACAAATCATCAAACTCTCTGAGCCAACTCTCCCCCCTCTGAAAAAAGGAGATGACAGACTGCCACTTTATCATTTTTGGGGAGATCCAAGGAGATATTACATGTAAAGTATGATCTGTGGCCAGAAAAATCCATAAAGAGCTGCAGGAAGTGGAGGAGGATCAGATACTGAAATCCTCATGGAAAGGCCAGGAAGAGAGTAGCCTTTAAAATAAAATCATTAGAATTAATGTCTTAAAATAGTTTAAACAATGTTTTATTGTATTATTAATAGCATTATGGACTAATGAGAGATCAAGAGTTGTGAACAGCGGTATTGGTTACTAAATTACCAAAGGGTCTTTGTGGTGGTCCATCTGGTGTTTGGAGGGTAGCTCCTGGCCCGATGCCCAGGGGTGATGGGTAATGGTGTTGTATGGGAGGGAAAGTGGTATTCATGATGTGTGATGGACCCCATAGGAAGGACACTCTTGTCATTCCCTTTATTCCCTCTCAATGATCCCAGCAATGGACACCAATGGACGTAACTTCAAAGCACTGAGGTAACAGCCAGATTAAAGCAAGCCAGAGGCAGCAGACTGCTCACCTGGGGGAGGTCCAGCCCCAGAGTCATCTGGGCCTGGCAGCAGGTGTGTTTGAGGAGTTAGGGAAGCAGTAATCTTCCTTAGCAACCCAGAGGATAATGACTTTGCATCTCCTGAACTTGGAGAACTTGCAGATGCAAAGACTGAAAATTCAGGATAATGCAAAGTCACAGTCCTCATAGCACATTCCAGAATGAGACAAGAACAGCCAAGAATCATAGAATATAGTTAAAAGGAACAGACCAATATGAGATGCAGAAGCTGCGTGTGACCAGGACAGACTTCGATGAGAGTTTTCGCCAGTTCCTGGGGGCAGAAATTAGAAGTTCCTTTCAGACTTTGGAGTAGAGTTTCCATCATTCTAACCTAACCTCTTTTTTAGTCTTTATAACATAGGCATTAAAGACACCCCCCCCCACACACACACCCCTTTACCAATACAGATCCCATGTGGACCTGGTAGAGCTCACCTGACTCATGCAGTCAGACTCCAGGCCCCAGAGTGGGGAGGTTGAGTCAGCCGCAGCCCTGGATGAAGGCCTTACCAGGCCGGCCCCCCTGAGTGTCCTCCAGGGGACACTGGCTTATCCTGATGCCCCTGCTACAGTGAACCTGCCTTTGCCCCCAGAGCTACCCCTGTCTGGTGGCCTGACTTTAGTTCCTCCAAAGTTTTGTTGTCTCCTTCTCACTGATCCTTTTATACCACACCCTCCCTGTGATAGTTAAGGTTGTGTGTCAGCATGGCTGGACCATGATTCTGAGTAGTTTAAGCAGCTGTGCTGTGGTCGTTCCATGCAGAGATCTGATATAAGGTGGTCACCTCCATAGTGGGATGCGCTTTGAGCAGCCAATCAGTTGACAGGGAATTTCCTTTCAGTGGTGTGGCCTGCTTCCTATATATATATATATATATATAGATGTCCCAGGAAAATCTGGGAACTTTATGGATTTGGGTCCTGTTGTGCTGCCTGCCAATCTTACGTTCGTCAGCCCCTGCAACTGCGTGAGTCAGGAAAAGTCCCCAGTTTGACATTTGACCCATGAACTTGGGACTTGCCAGCCTCTACAACTGTCCTGTGAGCCAACCATCTGCCATTTTGCTTGCTGATCTTGGACTGTCATCGGCCGAAGTCAGCAGCCTGCCATACTGCCTAGGGATCTCGGGTTTGTCAGCCCTTGTTGCTGCATGAGTTGAGAAAGGTCTCCAGCTTCTTGTTTGACCCAGGAACTTGGCATTTGCCAGCCTCTATAACTGGGTGAGCCATTTTATTGAGATAAATTTCTCTCTCTCTCTATAAGCTTACTGGTGTTGCTTCTCTAGACAGACTAGCCTAAGAGACTCTCTATACAAATCCACTCTCCTCCTGGCCTTTCCATGAGGATTGCAGTGTCTGATCCTCCTCCACTTCCTGCAGCTCTTGCTATATGTTTTTCTGTCCATCTTTCTCTACAAATATTTCCCCGTTTTTGTTTCATGTTTTTATCTTTTCTGTTAGATTACCTAAGTAGCGGTGCAGGGTTAAGAATGTAGGTTCTGGGTTCAGAATGTCTAGGTTAGTCCTTGCTCATTTGGCCTTAAGTAAATCACATATAGAAGGAACCTTGGTAGCATAGTTGTTAAGCACTTCACTGCTAACTAAAAGGTCAGTGGTTCAAACTCACCAGCTTCTCCATGGGAGAAAGATATGGACAGCCTTGGAAATCCCATGGGGAAGTTCTATTTTGTCTTATTAGGTCATTATGAGTCAGAATTGCCTTGATGGCAATTGGTTTTTTATAGGTAAATCACATACATGGTGTCTCTAACTTCAGTTTCCTTATCTGCAAAATGGCATGTAAGTCATACTAACCCCAAAGGGTAGCTGTGAGCACTGAGTCCACAACCACCACAGAGTAAACGTTCAGTCAAAGTGAGCTGTTAGTGACATGGCTTCTTGATTACTGTCCTTAATGTGCCCCTGTCTTTACTTCACCTTCTTCTTCCTCTTTCTTTCTCAGATGTCCACATTCTCCTCCACCAACCTCTGCCATTTCCTTTCATTGTCTCTCCATTACTGCCCTTCCCCCGAGTCTCCCTGCTATTAAACCAACATCCTCCATGTTTCAATCAGCCATATTTTTACCATCACCCAGGGTCCTCTTTAATTCTGACCATGAGCCATAATTTTTGACCCTTCACAGCTTCATACTGACCTTTCTAAATCATGATTACTTCTAAGTGCTCACCTTCAATCTGCGTCACTGAAACCCTGGGTTCCTCTTTTCCCGCCTTGCTTATTGGGCCAAAAGTCTCTTGCTCTCGGCTCTCCCTTTAGTTAGGAGCGCATACAACCCACCGCCTGGCCCCCACCCTGGTCTCCCTGCCTTTCCATGCCCCTCAGCATTTCTTCCTGATTCAAAATCTCCACTCAGTAACCAGTTACAGGTCTCTTGGACCTTTTCCTTCTTAATAGCTGTTGGTGGTGGGAGGAGCTTTTATCTCATTTGAATTACCTTCCTCAAGCCTCGGTTGTATACTAGGCCTCTCTTCTTCCTCTCTTTCTTGGAAACAAAATCTCTCTTTGATCACTGAGGAGAGGAAGAAAAAGGCAGTTAGATATCTTGGGAGAGACCAGGAACATATAATCACAAATTTAGATCTTCCAGTGTGTGGGGCACTTGAGCTCAGAGGTTCTCCTGTGATGTGAAGTTTTCCCCTGGAACAGCCAAGGGGATACCCCAACAGACCCTTTATACCTCCCATACAGAAAGCCACCTCTAAAGATTTAAGAATAAAAGAATAGTAAGAACATTGTATGCAGCCCACCTAAATTATCAGATGCCAGGGAAACATGTATCAAAATAAATAATAGAAGTGAAATATGTTTTCTGAGCTGTTCAAACTAAGAAAGAAACAGAGGGACTTCCTAGGAACTAGGGTTCAGATCATAGAGAAATCAGACCATATAACGGAGAAAGCCCCTTAAAAAATGAGTCTAGAAAAAAGAGGATTTGAACTTAACTGGATCAGGGGGGATGATCGGTTTTCAAAGAGCCATAACAGAGGACCTAGACAGGCTTCCTTTCCATTCGGGGTGCCCAATATCAGAGGAACAAAGGAAAAGTGCTCTCTGAAAGCTACAGACAAGGAGTGACCATTGCAGCAGCTGGAAGACCCCCATCCTACCCCATGGCGCTAGAACTGGGAACCAGAAGGCTGTTTACCAGGAGAGGCCAAGACACCAGCCCAGGGTACCTACATTTGCCCTGACCCAGCAAATACAGACAGGAAGCAAGACTCCTAGAGTTCTGAGTGAAATCAGCCAGGAAGAGGAGGAGCTAGGTCCCCGTGGGAAAGTAGAAGCAGAGGGGAGCCACTAAGGGACGCAGTGGGCTGGCGAGGGCCCAGTGTGATGGCCAGAGCACCTCTGCGGGGCAGTGCCCACTGGAGGAGGTGAAAATGCAAAAGATTGTCACGAGTTCAAATCCAGCCCAAATCAGGTGGAAGGTATGAGGTTAAGCACTTCACTGTTAACTAAAAGGTCAGTGGTTCAAACTCACCAGCTTCTCCATGGGAGAAAGATTTGGACAGCCTTGGAAACCCCATGGGGAAGTTCTATTTTGTCTTATTAGGTCATTATGAGTCAAATGGGCCTGAAGGCCCCATATGCAGTGCAGGGATTTCAGTGGGAGTCGTGGGAGCTTCTTAGCCAGGCGTAAATGTGCATGAGGGGCTGCAGGGACGGGTGGACACCAACTCTTGGTGCCAACTGCCGAGCAGCAGCTTACAGCCAGCAGAGTGACGAGTGGAAGCAATGCCAGCCAAGCGGGATCCTGCACCTGTAGGTGAGCTGTCATTTGAGGCTGGGGAGTCATCACCTTGCCAGAGTGCTGTGTGGACCACTGCAAGGATGCCAGTAAGAGGTTACACTGATGCTGCCCTGCTGGTAAGCTGGGTCTCCTGTCCTATGTCCTTGTAAGTAAAGCTGATGCCAGTGTGGCTAGGTCTGTCTTGTGCGTCTAAATGTCTAGTTCAACACCTGGGGTGTTAAACCAGAAGCCATTATACCATAAGCTTCAAGAAAGCTGATGACATAAGTTTTGTTAATTATTTTGTCCATACTTTTCAGCTCAGTGCTGACACGTGGTGGGAACTCAATGCATAGAGATAAGTAGATAGATATAGATAGATGGTCCTGGACCTTAAAAGGTGAATAATAAATCTAATTACCTCTTTCAAAGCTTCTGTAAAGGTGAATTAAGTCAGGGTACTCCTTCATGTTAACCTCACTGAACATCGCTTCCAGAAGTGACAGGTTAAATGTCTTCTCCAGTTCATTGAGAACACCGTACACTACTTTTTTCACAGGGACCAGGTTTCTACAAGACTCTTCAGAATCCTTAAAAAATAATGAATGGAGAGAATATAAATACAGGACTTCCAAATTACAGAAGAACCCTAGGAAGTAATTTTATGGCTAATGTATTCCAAGTTCCCACAGTAGGTATCTTCTCATGCGAAGTTTTAGAACTTCTGTGTTTGTATGGCTACTGAATGAAACAAAGAAATCCTTCCTCCCTAAAAAATACTTTTATGGATCTGATTTCCTCCTTCTCATTTACATGAAAGGTAAGAACTAAATTTCAAGACATAAAACTGAGTTCAAAGTTAGATGATGTGTACTCCTTTAAGAGCTGGGCCAAGATGTTTTAAGAATAGTCTTAGCAGGAGATGAGTGGCCATTCTGCCATGTGGCCAGCCTCTTCCTGCTGTGTACTTGGCCACAGAGAAAGCATACCTATAGTGCATAGAAAAGACTTGCACTTCTATATCTCCAAGAAGGCCTACTGCTAGAATTTACCCAAATTTCAAGACTATGGAAATGCACAAAAAAAAAAAAAAAAAAGAAAAGAAAAGAAAAGAAATTGAAGGAAAGAAGTAGGAAATGGAAAGCCACTGGAGAAAGAATCTACAATGAAAATAGCAAGTATCTGCCCCCAAAATAACAACACATCAATTTCCTGTGGGTTTCAGTGTTCTCAGATCTAAGTATTTTAAGTTGATGTTAATTGAAATGATACTCTAGGTCAATTGCCTTCTTTATGCTTCAAATGTTAGTTTATTCTTTATTGCATCAATTCCTACAAAGCATCACATATGTATGGAGTATACCTGCTTCTGACTCATTGGATCTTGGTTGCTATTACTCCCCTCCAATGAGCATGATGGAAGACAATTCCTTCAGTGAGTAGCAGGAATATCTTTGGTGATGCCTCCTTTTTCTCTCATTTTGTACCTTACAGGAATATTTACAGAAATACTTGAAATATCTCCCCTTCCCCAACATAGGAAGCCCCTCAGCCAGCTAGCTGTGTTCTGAAGTTTGAATACAGAATATGAAAACATAACATGGCTTGGGCTGGTTTACTAGGTTATGGATTTATAAACTTCACTTACTTGAAACAATTTCTCGGTGATGAAGCCACGGTCTCGGAGGCCCTCAAGGAAAGGAAATGTTTTATTTATTGCATTTGAAATCTCCACCTTATGTTTTCTGAAGTGATTGAATAAAGTCTCACAGAAAATTCTCTCATCTATGTTCTGGTCTTCAATGGGAATCCTGGGAAAAAAGATACCATACATAAATGATCATCAAGATTCCGACATACTTGTAGAGGTTGTAAGGTTTTGTACGTGGATAGTCTGTGAAGAACCAACATATGTAAAATAAGTGGTCCTGACTAGAGACTAGAATAAATATTCCATTTATTCCTTAATCACAGAAATAATAGAAGAGAGCATGGAGTTTAAAAATCACTTATACATGGGACTGAAGAAGTTTAGTGTGTCCCAATCAAAGCCATTGTAAAGATATCTTCACCTAAACATATCTAGAATATTGTTTTAATTAAAAAAAAGTTCATTCCTATAAAATTAAGATGGAATAAATAGGTCATCATATGAAATTAAATCTTGATAATCAAAGTCCTAATTAACAGCTAAGAGAAGAATGAACCTCTTTAAATAAAACACAAGATATCCCCTCTGACCCGCAAATGCCAAGGGAACAACACCATCCTGCATTGCAAAACTAGTTCATAAATGGTAGGGTGTAGATTAAGAATGATAATGATAGAATAAGGTATACATTGAAAATTTCACAAGAATACCAAATTTTTTCCCTGGGATATCTGGTTATGCTTTGTGTTAATATAAATCTGTCCTATACTATTGTTATACGTAGCAAATGAGTCTTTTTAGGGATTTGGATTTCAGAAATTGTGGCTGTTTCCTGTGAAAGCAATTTTAAGCCTGCCTCTGTAATTTTGGTTCTTACTGGATAACTTTGTTGCTCTGATAATAATTTTTTTTTAATCACCATCTCTGTATTCCTAAAAATTATGAAGACTCATAAACTTTCTTTGTCAACAAAGCAAGCAAGGAACCACTGCTGTGGAGTCAGACCTGACTCATAACGACCCCTCCTTGGGTTTCTGAGGCAATATCACTACGGAATATAGATTGCCCAACCTTCTTTCCGAGGAGTGGCTGGTGGGTTTGAACCGCCAGCCTTCTGGTTAGCAGTCAAGTGCCTTAGGCAAGAGTAGCACTATTGGCACTTGTCAGTTCCCAATATGCATCAGGGAACAATCATGTTGCACTGTTGTGTTGAATTCCTGTAAAACAGTTTCTCAATAAAAATTATAGATTGAAGAGAAGCACTTTTCTTCGTTTTTATTAATGAGCCCACTAAAATGATGATAAAAGAATTGAATTCACAATGGTAAAGAGAATGGTAGGGATGAGTAGATGAGGGATAACAACCAAAATTGTTAAGACAAAAAATAGTCAGAGTAATGCAGGTGGAAGATGTTCCCAGGGTCAGGAAAGGAACCATTGTGCCCAGGTAATGCTGCAGAGGAAGTGGAGGTGGGGAGGGGCCAGGAGACTGAAAAGTGATGTGTTATTTCCAAAATAAAGAATAGAACAGTCTGCCCTCTGCCTGTTAACCAACATGCTGATTACCTGTAGCCAGGAACATAGTCTCCCAGGCAAGAGATTAAAAAACAAAAAACTTATATATTTAAACCACAAATACCTCAGAACACTTGAGTGTCTGATCCCTTTTTTCTCCTATTTTTTTTCTTTATTAAGGAATAATTCTCACGTAATAAAATACACAGATCTTAAATGTACACTGAATGAGTTTTCATAGATCTATACACCTGTATTGCAAAACCCTAAGCAAGATTTATGCAGTAAGCTGAATAATGATCCCCAAAGATAGAAGTCTTTGTCTAACCTACTGTCATGAAAATATTAAAAATTCATTTTATAGTATAACATGGTTGTATTTCTGGACTCTATTCTATACGACTGATGTATTTGTCTGTCCTTATGTCAAAACCGTACTGGCTTGAATAGATTACCTTGGATGTGGTGGGTGGGCCTTTAATACCATTGCACATGTTCTTAGAAAAGGGATGCACAGGGAGCCTTGACACACACGGAAGAGAAGGCAGTGTGACCATGGAGGCAGAGACTGGAGTGGTGTGGCCAGAGCCCAGGAATGCATGTAGCCAGCAGAAGCTCAAAGGGGCAAGGGCAGAATCTCAGAGCCTCCAGAGGGAACAGTTCTGCTGACACTTTGATTTCAGACTTCTGGCCTCTAGGACTGTGTGAGAATAAATTTCTGTTGTTTTAATCCACCAGGTTTGTAGGAAAGTTTCATCACCCAGAAAGTTTCCCTGTGTTGCTTTCTCAACAAGCCCTGACTCTTCCTCAGGGTCAACTGTTGTTCCTGTTTCAATCACCGTGTTATCTTTGACTTTTCTTGGATTTTGTATAAATGGAATAATGTGTCATATATGCCTTTGTGTCTGTCTTCTTTTGCTCACCATCCATGTTGTGTGAGTGGTAGTTTCTTTTTACTGCCTCATACTCCATCGTGTAACTCTGCAACAATCTGTTTGTTCATTCTCTTTTGATGGACATTTGGGTTGTTTCCAGTTTGAGGCCATCATGGACAAAGCTTCTGCTCTTGTACAAGTGTTTTGTGGCAAGATGTTTTTATTTTTCTTGAGTGAATACTTAGGAGTGGAATTGCTAGGTCATTGTGGAGCATGTATACCTTTTAAGAAACTGCCAAACTATTTCAAAGACTGTTAAAAATAGTCTCTCTAATTTTAACTATTCTTTTGTGTATGATGTCTCTCCCTTCAGTGTTAATTTGTATTTCTTCAATGACTAATGGTATTGATAATGATATTTATTGAGCATGCTCTCATGTGGTTATTGGAAATTAATGTATCATCTGTTGTAAAGAGTCTGTTCAAGTCTTTGGCCCATGGGTTGTCTTTTTGTTAACGATTTGTAGAAGTTTGTTATATATATGTATTGTGAATATTTTCACTCAGTCTGTGGCTTGTCATTCCTTCTCTTAACTGAGTCTCTTGATGAAGAGAAATATTTAATTTTGATCAAGTCTAATCAACAATTTTTTTTTCTTTAAGGTTAATGACTTGTGTGCACTAAGAAGTCTTTCCCTAACCCAAAGTCATGAAAATATTCAGAAAATCATTTTGCAGTATAACATGGACTCTCTGTTCTGTAGCACTGATCTACTTGTCTATCCTTATATTAATACCGTACTGACTTGAATACTATAGCTTTAGAGAAAGCCTGAAAGTTAATTAGTGAAAAACTGTCTCAGCTTTTATAGGTCCTTTGCCATGGTAAGGCATTCAGTTGTTAACCAAAAGATTAGTGGTTTAAACACACTAGCTGCTCCATGGGAGAATGATGAGGCAGTCTGCTTCCATGAAGATTTATAGCTTTAGAAACCCTGTGGAGGTTGCTACAAGTTGGAATTGATTCGATGGCAGTGAGTTTGGTTTTGGGTTTTTGGTTTTCCGTAGAACTTTTAGAATCAATTTGTCAATTTTCACAAGAAAAGCATGCTTGGGTTTTGATTGAGTTTGCATTCAATCTATACATAAATTTAGTTGGAACTGACATCCTAACAATATGCAATCTTCTAATCTGTTAACATGATATATTTCTCCATTTATTTATATTTTATGTATTTTTTTCCACAGTATTTATAGTTTTCAGTATAGAGGTCATGTACATATTTCAATAAATTTATTCCTAGTTATTTTAGTCTTTCTGATATTACCTTAAGTGGTAATTTTTAAAATTTTCAATTGCTTCTTGCTATGATATGGAAATACAATTGATTTTTAAAAATATATAAACCCTATATTAGTGACCTTGCTAAACTCACTGATTAGTTCTACTGATTTATTTGTGGTGGTGTAGGGGAGCTCTGGTGGCATAGTGCCTAAGGCATCTAACTGCTAACCAGAAGGCTGGTGGTTCAAAGCAGCAGCCACTCCTCGGAAGGAAGACTGGGCAATTTACTTCTGTAGAGATACCACTTTGGAAATCCAAGGAGGGGTCACTGTGCATCAGAATTGACTCAATGGCAGTGAGTTTGGTTTGGTTTAATTTATTTGTAAATTTCCTTTGGATTTTTATAGAAAATAAATAATCATGGTGTTAGCAAATAAGGACTGTTTTACTTCTTCTTTCCAACAACTATTTCTTTTTCTTGTCTTATTGAATTGGACTTTGGATACAGTGTTGAAGAAAAGTGGGGAGAGTGGACTTCTCTGCTTTGTTAACAATTTTTTTGGAGAAAGCATTCAATATTACCATAAATTATGATTTTTGCTATGTGTATTTCATATATATATATATAATCAGACTGAGAAAGTTTCTGTATGCTCCAATTTTGCTGAGAGATTTTTTTTTTAATCATAAACAGGTGTTGAATTTTATCAAATGCTTTTCTGCATGTATTGAGCTTTTCATATGTTTTTTCTTATTTTTTAATTTGATAAATTATATTTATTGATTTCAGAGCCCTTCTTAAATAGGAACAGCAGACAACCACAGGTCAACAGACATTTGAGTAAATCCTCAAATATTAGAAGGAAAAATTAATAAAAAGAGAGGAGAAATTACCCAAGAGAGACAGATATTGTGGGAAATAAGAACAAACTTACAAAAACCAATCTTTTCATAGAATTGACAAAACAGTTTTCCTCAGGATGCTAAGAAAAAGGAACTACAAGAAAAAGAGAAAATGATCTTAGGTATTTATTTAAAAATATTTTGACAAAATAAAATATTACTCAAATAATTGCAGAATAAAACTAAGGCAATTTTCCAGAAAGTTAAGTAAAAAGATACAAAAAGAAACAACTAAAAGGGTGAAAGTATAGGACTGCAGAGAACTTCTGGTTTCAGCTCAGAAATGTAAAGAGCTTGAAACTCTTCATTCTTGTTCTTACAAGAAAAAGTGGAACAAACTGAAAATCAGCAACTTTTCTTGGACCCATTGAGGAAATGAGATCACAGAACCAACTACTAGGCTGAAATTGAGAGAGATGGGAGACCCCAGAGTCACAGCTGAGATCTCATTACCTGGGCCAGATGCTGCCAGAGTCATGCACTGGTGCAAACAATTAAATGGTAATTTTGGTTAATTGCTCAGGCTAAGTGTGAACAAACTGGAGATGAAGAAACTCCTGGGGGCTACAGTTTGGCAGGGGC